CATCTCACAACATGGATGAATCTGGAAGACATTATGCTGACTGAAATTAGTCAGTTGCAAAAGGACAAATATTGCATGAGACCACTATTATAAGAACTCAAGAAAAGGTTTAAATACCGAAGAAAACATTCTTTGATGATTATGAGGGTGCGGAGGGAGGGAGAGGGGAGAGGGGAATATACTAACTAAATAGTAGACAAGAATTATCTTAGGTGAAGGGAAGGACAACACACAATACAGGGGAAGTCAGCACAACTGGGCTAAACCAAAATCTAAGAAGTTTTCTGAACATAAACAAACACTTTGAGGGACAGTGTAGTAGGGGAAGGGGTTTGTGGACCATGGTTTCAGGGGATATCTAGGTCAACTGGCATAACAAAGTTTATTAAGAAAATGTTCTGCATCCCACTTTGATGAGTGGCGTCTGGGATCTTAAAAGCTAGCGAGCGGCCATCTAAGATGCATCAATGGGTCCCAACCCACCCGGAGTAGAGGAAAATGAAGAACACCAAAGACACAAGGAAAGTGTTAGCCCAAGAGACAGAAAGGGCCACATAAACCAGAGACTTGATAAGCCTGAGACCAGAAGAACTAGATGGTGCCCGGCTACCACCAATGACTGCCCTGGCAGGGAACACAACAGACAGTCCTTGATGGAGCAGGAGAAAAGTGTGGTGCAGAACTCAAATTCTAGTAAAAAGACCAGACTTAATGGTCTGAGACTGGAGGAATCTCAGAAGACATGGCCCCTGGATTCTCTGTTAACCCAGAAAGAAAACGTCTCCAAAGCCAACTCTGCAGACAAAGCTTAGACTGGACTATAAGACATTAAATGATACTCATGAAGTGTGTGCTTCTTAGTTCAAATAGATACATGAGACTAAATAGGCAGCTCTTGTCCGGAGGCAAGATGAGAAGGCAGAAAGGGATAGGAGCTGGTTGAGTGGACACAGGAAACTTGGGTGGAAATGCAGAGTGTGCTGTCACATTCTAGGGATAGCAACTAGGGTCACATAACAATGTGTGTATAAATTTTTGTATGAGAAATTTAACTAGAGCTGTAAACTTTGACCTAAAGCACAATTAAAAAAAAAAAAAAGCAAAATAATAAAGATGTTCTTAGGAAAGAAAGAAAAGACCAAAATGGATGTCAGAAGAGACTCTGAAACTTGCTCTTGAACGTCGAGTAACTAAAGTGAAAGGACGAAATGATGAAGCGAAAGAGCTGAACAGAAGATTTCAAAGGGCAGTTCGAGAAGACACAGTAAAGTATTATAAAGACCTGGATTTAGAAAACCAAAAGGGAAGAACATGCTCTGTATTTCTGAAGCTGAAAGAAAAAATTCAAGCCTCCAGTTGCAATACTGAAGAATTCTACAGGGAAAATATTAAACGACCCAGGAAGCATCAAAAGAAGATGGACAGAATACACAGAGTCACTATACCAAAAAGGACTGGTTGACGTTCAACCATTTCAGGAGGTAGCATATGATTGGAACTGATGGTACTGAAGGAAGAGGTCCAAGCTACACTGAAGGCATTCACAAAAAACAAGGCTCCAGGAATTGACGGAATACCAACTGAGATGTTTCAACATGCAGATGCAGCGCTGGAACTGCTTAGTCATCTATGCCAAGAAATTTTGAAGATGGCTACCTGGCCAATCAACTGGAAGAGATCCATATTTATGCCTATTCCAAAGAAAGGTGATCCAACTGAAGGTGGAAATTATCGAACAATACCATTAATATCACTCGCAAGTAAAATTTTGCTGAAGATCATTCAAAAGCGGCTGCACCAGTCATCAACAGGAAACTGCCAGAAATTAAAGCTGCATTCAGAAGAGGACGTGGAACCATCATTGCTGATGTCAGATGGATCTTGGCTGAAAGCAGAGAATACCAGAAAGATGTTTACCTGAGTTTCATTGACTATATAAAGGCATTCGACTGTGTGGATCATAACAAATTAAGGATAACATTGCAAAGAATGGGAATTCCGGAACACTTAATTGTGCTCATGAGGAATCTGTACATAGACCAAGAGGAAGTCATTCAGACAGAACAAGGGGATATGGTGTGGTTTAAAGTCAGGAAAGGTGTGCATCAGGATTGTATCCTTTCACCATACTTATTCGATCTGTATGCTGAGAAAATAACCCAAGAAGGTGAAGAAGAATGGAGCATCAGGATTAGAGGAAGACTCGTTAACAACCTGTGTTATGCAAATGACACAACCTTGCTTGCTGAAAGTGAAGAGGACTTGAAGCACTTAATAATGAAGATCAAAGACTACAGCCTTCAGTATGGATTACACCTCAACATAAAGACAACAAAAATCCTCACAAATGGACTAATAAGCAACATCATGATAAACAGAGAAAAAATTGAAGTTGTCAAGGATTTCATTTTACTTGGATCCACAATCAACACCCATGGAAGCAGCAGTCAAGAAATCAAAGGACGTATTGTATTGGGAAAATCTGCTGCAAAAGGCCTCTTTAAAATGTTAAAAAGCAAAGATGTCACCTTGAAGACTAAGGTGTGCCTGACCCAAACCATGATGTTTTCAATTGCCTCATGTGCATGTGAAAGTTGGGCAAAGAATAAGGAAGACCGAAGAAGAATCGATGCCTTTGAATTATGGTGTTGGGGAAAAATATTGAATATACCTTGGACTGTCAAAAGAACAAACAAATCTGTCTTGGAAGAAGTATAGCCAGAACGCTCCTTAGAAGCAAGGATGGCGATACCTCATCTCACATACTTTGGATGTGTTATCGGGAGGGACTAGTCCCTGGAGAAGGACATCATGCTTGGTAAAGTAGAGCGTCAGCGAAAAAGAGGAAGACCCTCAAGGAGATGGACTGACTTAGTGGCTGCAACAATGGGCTCAGGTATAACAGTTGTGAGGATGGTGCAGGACCAGGCAGTGTTTCGTTCTTTTATACATAGGGTGGCTATGAGTCAGAACCAACTCGAGGGCACCTAACAAGTTTGGGACTGTTACTTCAAGGCAAAGAGATGGAGTGGATATCTTCAGCTTTCTTCCTGTTGTATGATTCTGTGGTTTCTTTGACTTCTAAAGTTGGCTCGGTTGCAAATTTATTTTAAAGCTGAAAAGCAAAATGCCTTCAGATGAAAGGCAGGAAGAAAATACTCCTCAAGGTGTCTACTTTAGCACCAGTGAAGCCTAATAAATACCATTATCATTTATATGGATAAGCAAAGTAAATTCATATAAACGATGTATACTAACAGCACTAACTTGTGGTTTCAGTAGGAAATGAGCACTTTAACCATGCCTGGTTTTATTCTATCCCACATTAGCCACCCTGTTTGCAGTTGTGCACATATAAACGAAGACAGCAGCCTTTCTGACGTATAGTTTCTTACACTGATAAAGGAAAACTGCTGAAGTCATGAGGCTGCTCCAGGCAGAGCCCTCATGTGAGTCATTTGAAAGCTCCAGCATTGCTGACCTCTGGCAAAAAAAGAGCAAACAAGGACGGGAGAGACAGAGGGGGAGAGGTTCAAGCACGGATTTTCTCCTTGAACCTGGAAGATTATGGGTCAGGAGCTGTGTGCAAAGACTCTACAGCCTGGATGCAGCTGCTATCGTTGTTCAGAGAGAGGCGAGGCACATAGCTGTCCGAGGACTCAGCCTGTGAGGACGGAGGCTGCGGTCGAGGTATTTGTATCCCTGGCAAGAGCATCTTTCTCTATCAGTAAACCAAGGAGTTCAGAGACTCCCTTTCTATAGTGGGGTCTGATTTTTCTGCAGTAGGTCTAAACCAATACAAAGAAAATTCTATTAAAGTCACAGAGAATTTATGGCTGCTGTTATCATATTGGGAGATGTCCTTGTAAACCAAAAGGGAAAAATAATCCTATGCTTTAGGCTGCATGAAACTCACTTGCCTTAAAGTAGAGAAAGTCGTTATTCTCTTATAATCTCTGAGATACTCAATTACAGAACTGAATCTCAAAAAGCAAGCTGCAGTATTGGTATGTTGAAGGTTCAAAATTCTAATAATTAGCTCATGATCCCTAGCAATGCCGTCTAGAAGATTATTCCCCTAAAAAGATAAATTAAGTGGACATGGGGGAAAAAAAGCCTGAGTTAGAAACAGAAAAATTGGAAAACATCCATCAAAGAGATTAAGATTAACCCAAGTGTCAAAAACATATTTTTAAGTAAAGAAAGGATTCTGCGTTCCAGCAGTAGATATCATTGCAGTCTTCTTTTAGGGATCTGACTTTCGGGAAAAGTACCTTTTGGGGAGGTAGGAAGCTTAGAAAATGTTTGAAGAATGAAAATCAGGCAAATATAGAAAAAATGATTTATGCCAGCCACCAAGTCTTGACTTTCCGTAAATTTTATTTCTGCACTTTTTTTGTTGTTGTTCTTCTCTAGCTAACAAACCTAGAAGAAGCATCATGTTCCATGACTTCATTTCACCCCAGGGGACTTCAAGCTGTCCGTGCCCAGAAGTTTAAGAGTAAAAGGCCACGGAGCAATAGCGATTCTTTTCAGGAAGAGGATCTGAAGCAGAATTTACAGTGGGTGAGTGAGCAGCTGATGTTGATCCCAAAGAATTTAAGGTGTGCTTGTCTAGGGAGTCTGGCTTTACTTCCAGGGCAATTACTGCCCAGGCCTTCACAAGTACACTCAGGCAATGCTGTCTAATTTCCCTACAGAGGAAAACGGCAACACTAAAACATGCCCTTTCTCTCTTCTCCACCTCTCACCCCTCCCTCTCCCCTTAAGCAGAGAAGGAGTCTCCCTTTTGGGGCAGCCTCATCTTACTTGAATTTGGAGAAGCTGGGTGAAGGTTCTTATGCTACAGTTTACAAGGGGATTAGCAGGTGAGTGACTCAGAGCTAGGAGAGACTTTAGAGACGAGTGTCCCACCCCCTTATTTTGCTTTCTAAAGCTAGGTGAGGCATCTGCACCTGTGCAAGACAAGATGGACAATAGGGAGAGGGACATAATGATTTAAATAGCCTTGAAAGAAAAACAAACCTACCCTGACCCAACTAAATTAGCCCGCTACGTCAGCCTTTCCTCTCTTATTTAATAGACTCTACTACTGACCTGGAGGCAGAGGTGGTTCAGTGATAGAATTCTCATCTCCGTGTGGGAGACCTGGGTTCCACCCATCTATCAGTGGAGGCTTCTGTGTTACTGTGATGCTGAACAAGTTTCAGCGGAGCTTCCAGTCTACAGTGGTTTAAGAAGAGAGGCCTGGTAATTTACTTCTGAAAATCAGCCAGTGAAAACCCTATAGATCACAAGGGTCTGAACTGCAACCAATCATGGGAATGGTGCAGGACCGGGTGCTGTTTTGTTCCGTTGTGCATTGGGTTGCCATGAGTTGGGGCCAGCTCGATGGCAGCTAACAACGACAACTACTAATTCAAAGAACAATTACTTTTCTTCAGCCTGGTGCTGAGTGCAGTTTTTTAGGTATCTCTGATAGGTTTTCCATATCCCCTCCTAAATCACAATGACAAACTTGAGTTTGCAACTTCATTCTGATGTTGGTTTCTGTAAAGTATAAAACCAAACCAAATGCATCGCCATTGAGTTGATTCCTAGTAGAACTGCCCGTAGGGTTTCTGAGGCTGTAAATCTTTACGGAAGCACACTGCCACATCTTTCTTCCATGCAGCAGCTAGTGAGTTTGAACCTCTGACCTTCTGGTTAGCAACCAAGCACTTAACCACCTCACCACCAGGGCTCCTTCTCTAAAGTACACAAAAAATGATAAATCCTGGGTTTTCTACACTTGCAAAACATACAAAATGGCTGGAGAATAAAAACACTGCATACCAGGAAACAAACTTTGCATTTTGATAAACAACAAACTTTGTTAAACATATATGAAAGATTCATGAACTTTACTGCCTTTTAGTTAAGGTGGTGAAAGTCGGAAGGTCTGATTTCCATTTGTCAGTTACTCTGGTGGAAAAAAAATAATGGTTCCGTAGTGGTAAAAGTTAATTTAAAATATTTAATATAAATACTATAAGAGTAAATATTGTATTATCTATCTTAGTAGTTCCGTTATTTATTTATTTGTAAATGTTAAACAGGATTTGTGGGGAAATATAATTTTAAATGTATTGTATAGAGACAAGGTTTAATCCAATTCAACAGACCATCCTAGGAAGTAAGACTATAAAAGATTTCTTTCAAGGGCTCAGCCTACTAATAGGATGAAAAATACATTAGAAATACTTGTCCAAGTGTACAGAGATATACGAAGAAGTATGTTCATTGAAGCAAGACTTACAATAGAAAAAATAAAAACCTGGTCACAAATACCCATTCACAGAGGACTGGCTAAATACTCACCATACAATGAAATAGTATACATCTGAAGTATGAACTGGATGAACTAACATGAAAAGATGACTCATATTTATTTGAAGAGAAAAAAGCAAGTTACAGAACAATGTACCCTATGATCCCATTTAGAAAAAATTACTCGGATATATAGTACATGTATAAATTTATATGTACATAGAAGAGTATGGAAAAAATACACAAGAGATTGTTATATTAGAAATAGGGCAAAAATATCCATTACCCATTACTGTTAAAGATTATCATAAACATTCTGGCCAATACAAGAAGAAAAAAGACAGTATCATTTTTGTAGATTATAGAATTGTCTACCTAAAAAACGCAAAAGCATCATCTAAGAAACTATTTGAAGTAGTAAGGAAACAAAAAAGTGATCAGTTACAAAACCAAATACCCTTATAAAAAGTTGTCTTATGTATTAGCAATACCACTTAGAAAATATAATAGGGAAAAATTACCCTCACAGTAGCAACAAAAATCTTCATTAGCATTAAAAAATAGGCAGGATTTATATAAAGATTTACTAAGGGATGTAAAAGGCTTGAATAAAGAATCAGAGAAGAGTTCATTCATTTCACTAATATGTGTCGCAGTGATTAAAAGCCTGGTTGCTAACAAAAGGTCATCAGTTCAGATCCACCAGCTGCTCCTTGGAAACCCTATGGGGCAGTTGTGCTCTGTCCTATAGGGTAGCTATAAGTCGGAATCAACACGATGGCAACGGGTTTTTTTGTTTTGTTTTGTTTTATTTTAATGTACCAGACACTATTTTAGTTAGTAGGGTTACATCAGAACACAAACATCCCTACTCTTATGAAGTATACATTCTAGTGGTGGTGAGATAGTAAAATTAGTAGAATACTGAGTTTGTCAAAGGGTAAAAAATGCTATGGAAAAAAATAAAACAGGGGAGAGAAATAGTGTATTAAAACAATACATTTATACATGTGTTCTAGGCACTTAGCTTATTCCATCAAAAAAACAAAACAATGAATAAAGGGAGAATAGAAGGAGTTGGGGAGTCCTTGGTAGGAGAAAACGGTTAATGCACTCGGCCGCTAACTGAGAGGTTGGAGGTTCGAGTCCACCTAGAGGCACCTCAGAGGAAAGGCCTGGAGATCTACTTCTGAAAAATCAGCCATTGAAAACTTTATGGAGCACATTTCTACTCTGACACACATGGGGTCACCATGAATCTGAGTGGGCTGGTCAGCAACTGGTTAGAAGGAGATGAGGAGAGAGAGAGAAAGGTGGGGCCTGGACAGAGCTGTAGCACCTAGGAGACCATTGTGAGAATTTGGCTTTTATTCTGCATGAAATGGGAGACAATGGTGGGTTTTGCACAGAGAAGTTACTTGGTTTGACTTTCATTTTAAAAGGATGCCTCTGACTACTCAGTTGAGTATAGACAGTAGGGGTTTAAGTGTACAAGCAGAGACACTGTTAAGAGGCCACTGTAGTAATTCAGATGAAAAATAAGAATGGCTCAAATACGTGCACAAAGGAAATAAAAGAACAATATAAATCAAAATATTTTGTGGATGAATTTGGTGGGGGTTTTTCTCTGTGCTTTTCTGTATTCTTCAAATTTTCTATAATGAACAGATATCACCTTGGTAAACAGAAGAAGTGTTTTGGAAAATATGTATATATACATACACTAAACTTTTTATTTTGAGATGATAGTAGATTCATGTGTTGGAATATATTCTGAAGGACAATGACTTTTGTTAAACCACCATTAGTATAAATTGCTGCTGTGAACCACCTCAGTGTGTGTCTCCCCCCACCCCAACCCCTCTTCTAGGATAAATGGACAACTAGTGGCTTTAAAAGTCATCAGCATGAATGCAGAGGAAGGAGTCCCATTTACAGCCATCCGGGAAGGTAAGAGCAGTAAAAACGTTTTGAATCCTTGCCCTGGTAAAAAAAATGTGTTGAGTTTATCCATGCAGCGTCTAAAACCAGTTGCCATTGAGTTGAACCTGACTCATGGCAACCCCATGTGTGTTAGAGTAGAACTGTGCTCCATAGGGTTTTCAATGGCTGATTTTTTTTCAGAAGTAGATCACCAGGCCTTTCTTCTGAGGTGCCTCTGGATGGACTCAAACCTCCAACATTTTGGTTAGCAGCCAAGTGTGTTAAATATTTACACCACCCAGGGACTCCTATTCAGCACCTAGTTTTTTAATATTTCTAGAAGTAATATGATAATTACAATTTTGTTCTTCATACTAATTTTCCCCAGGAGTATTTGTTTTTATTTTTGAGGAAAATAAGATTCAGAACAGTTATATCACTTGACCAAAACTATTAACTCAGTGACTATTTGGTAAATATCTTCTATGTGTTTGGCACCATGCAGGTTGCTAAGGCTATATCTATATAACTCCAGAAAATCCATACAAAAGAGAAAAATATATAATAATATAACATAATTACATTAATTCTCAGTGGACAATTTGCCTGAAAATAGCATATTGTTTAGATAGCACTTGAAAAACTTTATTTATTATCAACACAACATGTTAGTGTTGTGCATGTATTTTCTCTATTTCCAGAGCAGTATAGCAAAGTGGGTAAGGATCTTAGTGTCAGATGGACTTGTATTTAAATCTTAGGTCTACCTTGGGTAGATTATTAAGGCTTAGTTTCTTAATTGCAAAAAAAAAAGAGGATAATTATGGTACCTATTTCACTGAGTTCTTATGAGATTTAAATGAAAAAAATGCATATAAAGCATTTATAACAGAGTCCATTTTCAAGGTTCAGTAGAAGTCGGCTATTATTATTACTATTTCATTCTTGCTCCTTTCCCTTGGTAATGTCTTCTTCACCATCAAGAGAACTCATAATTTATAATAAACATTTCAAGAAGGCAACATATTGAAAATAAATCAGTAAAAATATAATTTATTAATATTGTTTCATGATTCATTTGAAATAAAATAAGAATGCAGAGAAATAGCACTTCCATGGTCTTGCTATTTCTGTTTTTTAACTACTTTTCTTCCCTTCTCCATCAAGCACTTACTATATGCAAAGCATGTTGCTGGGTGTTGTGAAGGATGAGAAGAAAAAGCCCTGATCTCTGTCCTAAGTTGTTTCAGTCTAACATTGTAAACTAAGAGGAGAACAAGTTATTCTTGGTGTGGCTAATGGAGTCAGTAGGTTTTGAACCAAGCTTGGAAAGCATGGAAAAAGCAATTTAGAAAATGAGTTTATAACTGAATTTGATGCCATTTTCAAGTCTTTCGGACCCCTCGGGAAATATGTCTTTTTGAATTTAAGTGGAAGGGCCAAATGGCTATAGGTTTAGCTAGGGATTCATCCTGGTAGGGTCAGGTGCGTTCTGGAGGAAAGCATGGTTTTAAGTGTTTATTATAATGGAAGCCACATTTACTAATCTGCTTATTAGTGGTCCCGTGAAAAGATGATCAGATTTAGAAAGTGACATGTGGGTAGGTTAAAGAGTATTTCTGAAAGTAATAGAAATCCCCAGGTCACCAGCACAGGGGAGGGTCTCTAGGCCAGTTTACCTCATCCTCCTTTTGTCCTCTTTGTGTACTTGACCCTGCCTTGCTCAGAGGCAGATGACCTAATAAGCAAGGTAAGTATGGGCTTACTTGTGCTTATTTAATAATCTGTAGCGAACAATTTCACATGGGTTTCACCACATCTTTGAAATTGTTCACTACAGATTAGTAAGTAAGCACAAGTAAGCCCGTGCTTACCTTGCTTACTGGGTCATCTGCCCCTGTCAGGGATTGCAAATTTGAAAAAAGGCTTTGATTCTATAGGAAGATGCTGTGGGGTTGGGAGAGAGACAGATGCCAGCCATATCTAGAAGCAGAATCTTTGAGGTGGTGAAAAAATGTGAAATTGTTCTCTACAGATGATCTGGTAAGCAAGGTAAGCACTGTGCTTACCTTGCCTATTGGATAACCCTCCCCTATATTGCTTAACCCTGTATTGGAAACCTGGTGGCATAGTGGTTAAGAGCTACGGCTGCTAACCGAAAGGTTGGTAGTTTGAATCCACCAGGTGCTCCTTGGAAACCCTATGGGGCAGTTCTACTCTGCTCTTTAGGGTCACTGTGAGTCGGAATCGACTTGACGGCAATGGGTTTGGGTTTTTTGTTTGTTTGTTTGTTTGTTTGGTATTGCTTAAGGACTGCTTTGCTCAGATTTAGCCCACAGCCAAGTTTCTCAGGTTGACATTTTGAGGAACAGTGAAACCTTTTGCTAGTTTTGCTAGCAGATGGTTCTCAGCATGGTTCAGAAAAGCTCTCTCTATATTCAGTCTGTACTCTAAATGTTTCTTTTACTGCATATATGCTGAGGAGATGCCTTTCTATCACAGGTGTTTGAAATTAAATTTAGTATTCAATTGTGGACTTTCTTGGTTTGTTTTATGGACTTACCTTACTGAATGCTTTGCTTGTATATTAAAAACCACAAAAGGATTTTTGACACATTTGGAGGTTTTTAGGTGCCCAGTTTCCAACAATGAATGTTTCCTTTTCCACCAGTGTAAAAGCTGGGAGCCCTTGTTAGAGGAGCCATCTCCCCTCAAGAAGGTATGAGGCCTCATTTGAAAACTTTGGCACTGTCCCATTTTTCCTGTAAGAACTTTAAGGATGTGAGACCAGGGAGGCAGGAGGTTAAATGAGAAGGGCTGGAAGGCAAAATAAGAACAGCTGGAGTTCATTAGTTAAAATCCAGGGTCACTAGCTAAAAAGGCAACTGAAAGCCACGTGCAGACGAACTGAAAAAGTAATGCAGCCTTCTTTAAAAAGCCTTGAAGCAGGAATTACTCTTCTGAACAGTTTGGCTGCTCTGATGGTATAGCAGCCAAAGATTTATTGAGTAGGATTTTACTACATGTACCGTTTCTCTATATTTAGGTACAATGCATGTGGCAGTTTATTAGTCTGGTCCTCGAGAGCACTGTTTGTTTTCGTTTGATCGTAACCTGTAATGTGATGAAATTAGCAAAAGTATGAACAGCATTAAGGGAAATAAGCTTTAATGTATGTGCCAGGTACTTTTCATGTGTTACCTCTTTCAGTCCTCTTAACAACCTTTGAAAAATTCATATTATTCTAATGTTGTATATGCAGATACTCCAGCTGGTTCAAGATCACATAGCTAATGAAGGACTGAGCCATGATTCAAAACAATCTGATTCAAAAATCTATTTTACAAATGCATTCATTTTGTGTATTGCATTGGGCAAATCTGCTGCAAAAGACCTCTTTAAATTGTTAAAAAAACAAAGATGTCACTTTGACAACTAAGGTGCACCTGACCCAAGCCATGGTATTTTCAATTGCTTCATATTCATGCGAAAGCTGGACAATGAATAAGGAAGATCGAAGAAGAATCGATGCCTTTGAATTATGGTGTTGGCAAAGAGTATTGCATATACCATGGACTGCCAGAAGAATGAACAAATATGTCTTTAAAGAAGTACAGCCAGAATACTCCTTAGAAGAGAGGATGGCAAGACTTTGTCTCATATATTTTGGACATGTTATCAGGAGGGACCAGTCCCTGGAGAAGGACATCATGTTTGGTAAAGTAGAGGGTCAGCGAAAAAGAGGAAGACCCTCAAGGAGATGGATTGACACAGTGGCTACAACAATGGGCTCAAACATAGCAAGGATAGTGAGGATGACACAGGACCGGGTGACATTTCTTTCTGTTGTGCATAGGGTTGCTATGAGTTGGAACCAACTTGATGGCACTTAATAACATTGGAATTATAAACCCAGTCACATACGTTATTCTGGCATTATTTTGTTTTACAAAGATATGACTATGTGCTATGTCCTGATTCAGGGTATAAGTAGGGCCATGATCTCTCCGAAGCCTCTAGGAAAGATTCTTTCTTGTCTCTCCCAACTTCTAGTAGCATCAGGTGTTCCTTGGCTTGTAGCAGAATAACTCAATCTCTGCCTCTGTCTTCACATGGCTGTCTTCCCTCTATGCCTCTTCTCTTCTTACAAGGACACCAGTTATAAAGAGATTAGGGTTTACCCTAATGAACTCATCTTAACTAATTACATCGGCAATGACCTAACTCCAAATAATGTCACAATCACAGAGGTTAGGACTTCAGTATATCTTTTGGGGGAACAACACATGCAACCTATGAAGATCAGGGATACAAACATTTTTATTCAATGCACAGTGGGGCTGGGTGTAAAAATTGGCTCCATTATTGAATCCTATATAAACTGGTTATAATTGGCCTGGCCTTCTTTAATTCACACACAGTTATTGAGCACCAAGTGCCAGGGCCTGCACTAGGTGCTAGAGATACAAAGACAAGAACAGGGACAATCCTTTCCTTCAAGAAGCTCACAGACTAGTGAAATCTTTGACTACCAGACATTTACTACGTGCAGCTGGACGTAGTAATTTTGAGAGTCAGCCTTCTTCTTTGTCATTGCAATCTTTTATATTTTCTCATAAATTAAAGGAAAACAGAGTAGAGTAACATCAAAACATCATGACCCATTGCACTTGCAAAGCATCAATTTTCCTAAAATTTTACTAAACTATAAACCTCAATGGGATTAACAAAACCAAGAAATTAAATATTGTTATATCATTGCCAGATGAAAATGATAGTCTTTTTCTAAATTTTTAAATATCTTACATTTATGAGAATCAGATTAAATTCCATTTAATATTCAACAACTTGGCCATACTAAATACCTTTCTGGGCATTTAGAATTTAAAAAAAAAACTGCATTTTTTAAACAAGATGAATAAAGTTCACTCATAACTACTTTCCCAGATCTTTTGGATTATGTTGTTTTCCTCAGGCTTTCACTTTGGCTTCCAGGGTATTCTCATGATCATACCAAGTTAATAAAT